TATAGTTTGAATTTTTTGTATTGGGTATCTGGTGGTTAGATTGTTTTTGGATATTTAACATCAAGTAGTTATTCCTCAATTTGGTTTCTTTTTGCATTATTATTTTTACAATTAATCGGTACCTCAGTCAAGATGAATAATAACAATGTATGGTGTCTTAAGTAGTCATGTGTCAAATCAATCTAAATTGACATGTTTTTCATCTGCAATGACCTAAACTAATGTAGAAGTGAATAAGGACAAAAAAAAAGGATAACCGAACTGCCTTTAAAACAGGCTTGATATTGCTTTATCTCTAGTTTTGGAAACATTTTATATATACTCGGAATTTTTAGAGGTTTTGGAAATATAGAAGACGAGATATATAAGAAGTATGATATATGGAAGAACGTGTTATTTTAATTTATATATATATGCTTAAGATTAACACAGAAAATATATTTTGGAGGGCTTAAAGTATTTTTATTATGGTTTTCTACTTATGATTATAGAGAGCTGTTATATACAAACCTAGTTGAAAGAGGTTTTCTAACATACTACTACATATTTTAGACTTAATGGTTACACTAGCATTTGGAATGCTCCAATCCTTATATAAAATATATTTATATTGTTTTCTGCTTTAGGTATTTATAAGCATGATTAAAACTTTTATATTTATATTAAAATATCTTTTTTTTTATATTTTTAGTTTATTCTTCTGTACCATTTTGTTGTGTTGTGTGAAGACAAATAAACTCATGTAATATACTATGTAAACTTAAAACGGTAGAAAAATGATGTTCAGACACTTTTTAAGATTTTGATTATTTGATCGAATTGATTTTGAAGATGTATAACAATTCAAAACAATCTTTCATGAGATAAATTTATGTACATCTCAAGTATTCATTAATGAACGTAAGAAAATGCTTAAAAACAAAAGATGAGATGTGATTAGATCTCTAGATATCAAAATGGATAATATAGAAACTAGAATTACACCTTGATTCATACATTTTAGGAAGGGTAGATCTAACATATTTTCCTAGTTGGTATGATTGACATTTTAAGGTCTGGAGACCAGTAAATTTAAGGAATATCTTTTTCTTTTTCTAATTTTGACAAATAAGGATGACCTATTCAATCATGTAAACATTTAGGACAAAATCTAACACAGAATGCATGTGAACTATGACCAAAATGGTATAAATCGTCACCTTCATATCCTTTTTCAATCGTCTCTTTAAACCACGCTCTTGTCTAAAAAAATACTTGTTATCAAATGTTATTGAATAATTTAAATTTTTTGCTAAATGACTTAAGGAAATTAAATTCAAACGAACAATTAAGTTTTTGTAATTTGAAGGTGGATTTAAGTGACTTAGAATCTTACATTATATAAAAATAACAAGAAATTAAAGACATTGTCGTGATCTTTTATAAAGATTTCTTCATAACTCATAAAAATATCTTGCATTTCCTATCAAGAAAGCAAATAAGCTTTGTTATAAGATACCTGCCTATTACTTTAAATGCTCAAGTTTTCTAAGCTTTTCACATTAAGTAGACGTATTTGTTTAAGTAGCAAGGTAAAGCTAAGCGAAGAAAGAGCCATGGGAAGATAGATCTGAATGATTAAATCTAAAGCACCCTATATATGCCCAAAAGGTTGGTGTTTTCCCTAGAATTTGCCATCTGTTTGTGGGGTGCTTTGGTTTACTCCAGTATTGTTCTGTGGCTGCGACGATGCAGAGTTCATCTCGAAGCCCGGTTTGGTTTGTGTTACATCGACATTATAGACAAAGAACTTGGCAACAACCAAAAAGCAGAGCAAGTTGAGGAAGCTGAGTACGGCCATGAATGCATAATAGTAATCTAAACGGGAGATATTTAGATTGTCCAAAATCCAACCCCTGTGGCCATTTCTCTTTGTGATATCAGCAACAGTTGACAGAAGAAAACTGCTGAGAAAGCTTCCAAGACCTATGGTGGTTGTGAAATATGATGTTGCGAGACTTTTCATGCCATCTGGTGCTTGATCATAGAATAACTCCATTTTGGCTACTTCCACGAAGTTATCAGCAACCCCTCCCAAAGCATACTGAGGGAGTAGAATGAAAATACTGAGAGGAATCGTATCTTTCGCGTGAAAGAGGTGGTTTTCTCTTGCCACCCTCAGTCTCTTTCTTTCAACAAAGCATGCAATCACCATTATGATGCAATGTAGCACAAGCCCAATGCCAAGTCTCTGCAGCATTGTGATACCCCTTGGGTTCTTTGTGTAGCGCCGAATCGCAGGAACAAAAACACGGTCATATAGAACAACGGTTATCAGCATGGCGATAGTTACAAATGCATTTAAGCTTGCCGGGGGAATATGAAAATGGGGTCCCATTCTCCTGTCTAGAGTGGTGCCTTGTTTGACAAAGAGAGTGCTCGCTTGAACTATCAAGGTGCTTGGGATAATCGTTGTCAGCAAAACAGGAATCAGTTTTGTCATTTGCTTGGTTTCCTCTACTTGTGTCACAGTACAAAGTCTCCATGATGACGTTTGACCATTCTTTATAGAGGCCTTGTCAAGAAAACTGCAAGCAGAGAACGGGGAGAATTGTGCAAATGATTCAAGTGACATGGAAAAATACAGTGAATTTTGAAAGGATAAAAAGATGGGATTTTTAACCTCAATGAAGAGCTCCGATCAATTCTGTTTCTCCCACTACATGCATACTGTTCAATGCTCAGTTCATGTAGCTCTTTTGGATCATCTGGGACACGTAGCTTCCACTTTTTCACAGCAGCAACATAGACCTGAAGCATCATTGTTATTGGGCTACCTGAAGGCAGTTTGTGTCTGTAAAATGGAGTTCCTCCCAGAAACACCAATACTGAAACAGCAAGGCCAAGGGTGGGAAGGCCATATCCAATGGTCCAACCCACACGTTCTTGTATGAAAACCAAGAAAGTGTTGGCGAAAAGGGTGCCAAAGAAAATGCTAAAAAACCACCAATTGAAGAAGGAGAGTTTATAGCTTCTCTCTTTTGGTTCAAACTCGTCAAATTGGTCTGCTCCCATGGTCGAAATGTTAGGCTTCGTCCCTCCTGTGCCTATTGCAATGATATAAAGGGCCAAGAAGAAAACACCATATTGCAATGACGATGCCTCTGGGCAATTCTCGCCTTCATCACATCGTGGTGGCCTCAGTGCTGGTAGTGAAACTGCCAGTGTCAACAGACACATTCCCTATGGCCAAAGAATATGGAAAAACAGGTAAACATAATCATAATAATGTATGCAAAACCAAATGTTGATCCAATATTGTTTATCAACTCCTACTCTTGTTTACCATGTTACATTAACAGGTAAGATAAATGTCACATATCATACCACAACATAAATGCACGAAGCAATTATAAAAGTTTTATATCTGCCAAGATAAGCATCTGCTATGTAAGCTCCTGCCAGTGGCATCATCCAGACTGAACCCACCCAGTTGCTAACGTCGTTCGCAGATTTCACAGTGCCCTCATGGAGCTTCCTTGTTAAATATATCACTAGGTTTGATTGTATCCCGTAGAAAGCCATCCTCTCAAACACTTCGTACCCTGTAAATTAAAAAACACGCATATCCCATGTTCACAAGTGATAAAAATTCATCCTACGGAAAAAGAGAGGAATGGAGATGTTAAGGCCACTACTGGGATCATTTACCAACTATAAAGGAACAGGCTTTCCATTTTCCCGTCTCTGATCTCAAAACGGGTCTACCCTTTAGGTCTACTGTGCCATCTTGAGTGTAATCTTCGTTCCCATTTGCAGGGCCTTTTTCTTCTATCACTGCCATGAGTTTGAACTACACCTCTGTCTCTTTGTGTGGAAGTCTTTTAGCCTCTCTAGCGAGCCTTTTATATAGTAGAGGCGGGGAATCTGATTTTAGAATTCTAGCTTTCTCAACAAACTGCACTGTCCAATTGCATGAGCTAACTAACAAAGAAATCTTTAGTCCAAAATAAGGAATCAACATGTATTTGGTTTGTACTCACTGTCGCTTATTTTCACACTTTCCTTATCTTTCTTTTCTAATGATTTTATTTTCACCTCTGAATTATCGATCTAGCTACAGTTAGATCTTAGAAGTAAACGCGAGATTGACATGCCACAAAAGCCACGAGCTACATATGTCATAAAAAAATTTCTGTTCATTAAAGTGGCTCTCACTTAATGTATTTAAATATGTTTTCCTCCCTTTTCAGTCACCAATCAATTGCATTATTATGTCCTATGTGTCTCTGTCTTATGCTTCTTATTTCCTGAGAGCATTCATATTATCAACTTGACTTTGAAACTGCACTGAGAAAAATTTAGGTACCGAAAGCATTTTCTTTGTGCAAATACATCCAGATATATATGTATACACGGCTTTAATCAATGATGTCACAGATTATAGGTTTATTAGTAATAATCAAATAAGATATATCTGTATGTATGAGGGTATAAAGATTATGTTCTCATACAGGAAAACCGTGTGATTGGTTTTAGGCTGCACAAATTCAAGCAAAAAAGGAGACAAGTTTGACGGCAGAGTTCTTAAAATAGTTATTTTTTTCGATGATTGAAAGGAAAATTTGTCGGCTATATAATTTTCTACATGCGAACTAACAAAATGATTAACAGAAATGTTAAATAAGCAAGGACACGATAAACAGATAAAAGGGAGTCACATCTGATGGATATGAACCTTATAAGACCTGTTACTTTGGATCAAATTTTTGTGACCAAGATTATGTCCATAAGAGTAATTTTTCTTATAATATATTCTTTAAAATAATAGTTATTTTGTTAAAGTTATTCATTATAACTTAAGATTTGTCATGGCAATACAAATTATGGTAATTAGAAACAATTCTTTTTGTAAATGTAATTAACTTAAGGGTTCCATTTTAGATAGATAGTTATCACTCTCCATCTCATTGATGATCACTATCAAAATATTCAAGAATTTGTCTTTGTCCTTCTTCCATTCATGAAAGTAATTGATAACAAATGCTAGTCTACCACGCACTTTGTTTCCTCACCTTATTCCTTCAGTTATCTGGTTGTGGTACTTTGGCCTATTTCAGTATTGGCTTGAGGTGAAGTAGTGTTCATATCCAAGTCCTTGTTGATTTGTGTTTGATCAACATTATAGACGTACAATTTGGCAACAGCCACAAAGCAAAAGAAATTGATAGCGCTGAGAAGAGCCAAGAATGCATAATAATAATCTAAACGGGAAGCATTTAGATTATCCAAAATCCAACTCTTGTGACCATGTTTGCGGGTGAGATCAGCGACAGTTGAAAGCAGAAAACTATTAAGAAAATTTCCAATGCTCAAGGTGGTTGTGAAATATGAGGTTCCCAAACTTTTCATGGCTTCTGGTGCTTGATCATAGAAGAACTCTAACTTGGCAACATCAACAAAGGTGTCAGCAATTCCTGTAAAAGCAAACTGAGGGAGGAGGATGAAAATGGTTAGAGGAATTTTATCAAGCTGGCCTAAAAGGTTCTTTTCTCTTGCCACACTGAGTCTCTTCCTCTCAACAAAGCATGCAGTGAGCATAATGATAACATGTAGCACAAGTCCAATTCCAAGTCTCTGCAGCAAGGAGATCCCTCTGGGGTTCTTGGTGTAGTGCCGGATTGCCGGAACGAAAAGACGGTCATAGATCACAACGCTTATCAGCATGAAGATGTTCACAAAAGCTATAAGACATGCTGGAGGGATTTCAAAATGGGGTCCCATTCTCCTGTCTAGTGTGGTGCCTTGTCTGATGAAGAGTGTGGTGGTTTGAGCTATTACGGTGCTTGGAATGCACGTAGTGATCAAAATAGGAACCATTTTCATCATTTGCTTGGTTTCCTCAATTTGAGTCACAGTACAAAGCATCCATGGTGATGTTTCGCCTGTCTTCACTGCAGCTTTGTCTAGGAATCTGCACACATTTGTCAAGTTAAAATAAACAAAAGAAATATACAATTTGAAGAGGAAAAATTTGATTACTAGCCTTAATGAAGAACTGTGATAAATTCTCGTTCTCCCTTTACTTGCATAATACTCTTCCATGCTGAGCTCATGTAGCTGATTTAAATCATCTGGAACATGTACCTTCCACTTCCTCACTGCAGACACAAGTACCTGGACCATTCTGGTTAAAGGGCTGCCAGAGGGTAATCTATGCCTATAAAGAGGAGTTCCTAGCAGAAACATGAATATTGAAACGGCTAGAGCAACGGTTGGGATCCCGTAGCCAAGGCCAAAACCAACTCTGTCTTGTATGTAAACCAAGAGAGTTTGGGCTGAAATGGTTCCAATTAGAATATAGAACACCCACCAATTGTAGAAGGAAAGCTTTCGGGACCTCTCTTTTGGTTCAAACTCGTCAAATTGGTCTGCTCCCATTGTAGAAATGTTGGGCTTGGTCCCCCCTGTTCCTGCTGCAATGATGTACAAGGCAACGAAGAAAATTCCCACTTGCAATGAGGATGCTTGTGGGCAATCTTGGTCTGCAACTCCTGGAGCACATGCTGGTGGCCTCAATCCTGGTAGCGACACTGCTAGCGTCAACATACACATCCCCTGCAACCAAAAATACAAGACCGTCTCCGTTTATAATGTTAAAATGCAACAACTTATGTTATATTTATAACATGGATCAAAACCATTATATTCCATGCATTCTCCATGTGACATACAATCTAAAACTCAGTTATTTCTAACTCACAACACTAACAAAACAATAGATTTATATGTCTTATTTCTATTTAAGGTAAGAATTAGACTCACTCATAAAATTCTAATAGTGTATATATACCAGAAGGTAAATGGCTGATGCTATAACAAAAGTCCAATATCGGCCAAGATATGCATCGGCTATGTAAGCTCCGGCAGCTGGCATGATCCAGACTGCACCAGCCCAGTTGGTCACGTGATTTGAAGATTTGACAGTGCCCTCATGAAGCTTCTTTGTTAGATACAATACTAGATTTGATGCTATCCCATAGTATGCCATTCTTTCAATCATTTCGTACCCTACAATTGATTATCAAACATAATGGTGTTAGCACATTGTCACAACTCATTCACTTCTCTCTTTACATTATCATCACTTCAAGTATTTACTTTCTATTTCAAAGAGAAACTTCATTTTCTTTTCTTTTCCTCTCATGATTCTAAAACAATTTTTGCAAACAAACTCTTAAAAAAATGTCTCTTTTACATCTTGTTTCAAGATTGTAATGTATTTTTAACATATAATAGTCATTTTGTTCTTGAAAGTGTATGAACATTCTCATGTTTTTCTTGGATGTTAAAAAAATCAATATAAGATACTAATTTTCTTAAAAATGGTCTTTGAAAATGAAACCCACAGTTATATTAATTTTAAAAAATTGCGACTTGTTATCAATGTTCTTACATATATATTGAGATAGGTGATAATACTTTCACATCACAATAAAAAATTACATTCAATTGACATCATAAGATAATAATATTTATATTAATTTTAATTTAAAATTATAATATGTATTATGTAATTACAGTGTAAATTATTGATGTCTCTTTCATCTCAAATATATATAAAAATGAATAGTCAATATTACATATCAAAAATATATATATATTTGTAAATTTTTAGTCTAGTTATATTGAATTAAACTATTTTTTATTCGTGTCAAATTATTGCATTTCTCTTAAATATTTATTGCATATTTATAATTTCTGTTAAAGAAAACAAAAATTATCATTACTTTTGCATAAAAAAAATAAAATAAGATTATAAATATTGTAAAATATAAATATATATTTCAAATAATCATATATATATATATATATATATATATATATATATATATATATATATACTAATATTATTAAAAGGAATGTAAAACGAGTGTAATTTCATAAAGTGTCAAATAAGCTTTTTCCTATTTAAACACTAAACCAACACTAAGTTAATAGGTGTACAGACTTTAATGAAAGAATTTATGGTGTTAAAGATTTGTTTAAAATTCTTTTTAAAATTAATCTAACAATATGGTAAAATAAATGAATGAGTAGAAAAGGGGTCTAAAATTAAAAATTGTAAGTTTAAGGTCCAATGGCTGCATTTACCTACAATGAAGGAACAAGCTCTCCACCTTCCAGTATTTGATCTTAAAACTGGTTTGCCATTGAGGTCCACTGTGCCATCTTGGGTGTAATCCTTCTCTCTTCCACCTTCTTCTTCCACTCCCATCATGCTGTACAATGATGTTAACTTTTTAGCTTTTCATCAACACCATTTTATATACTTAAGATGGAATATTTAAATTTTATTACATTTTTTCTTTCCTCACCCTAAACTCATATTTACCATACAATTGCTTAGCTAAAATCCAAAATATAAAAAAACATATTTTGTTGGCTTCTTTTTGTCATGCACTTTGAATTATATCAATTAATCATACAAAAAGTCAAACAAATCAACTATCATAAAAACTTCTTTTTTTTCAAAGGTAATGTCATTTTATATGTTAATTTTGTCCTCTTCCCGTCATTAGTTACTGATTGTACTATGCTTCCTTCTTAATTTAGGTAGGTCCTTCCTGTTTATAAAATAATTACTTTTTTTATTTAATTTAACGAGTTGTATTATAAAAAATAAAAATAACTAGTTAGAGACTGAAATAAGAAAATTGAAATCTCCGAAAGCATTTATTCTTTGTGGATACATCCACCTACATGGCGTCAAAGGCCAAAAGCATGCATAATTAATAATGATTAAATAAAACAAAATATCATTAGAGGGTTCATTATATCCAATATTAAGATGTATAATAAAAAGTTTGGAGTTGAAGATCAACACTACTTGTTCATATTTTCTTATTAAGGAAAAATATATACAAATAAAAAATACTAAAGATGTCATATTGCAGCTGCATCTTGTTAGAAGTATTATCGCAAAAATAATTGTTTAAGGAACAATTCTTACGTTATACGTTTAGGATCATATACTAAAGATGCCATATTATAACTGTTTGTTATATAATCTAGTTTTAGTAAAATTCATAAGTTAAAAAAAAAAAACTCAGATATTTTTGAGAGAAACAGCATAGTGGTTGCAACTTTTAGATTGATTATATCAATCTTTAATTAATATTGTACACTACTTTTATTATTTTTAATTTTCAAATTAACATATTTTACTGCTTAATAATAAATATTATTATAAAATATATAAAATTATGCTTAATAAGTTAATAAAGCTAAATTTAATAAACATAACCGCCACTATCACACCTTTGTTTCTACTAATGTCGTTTAGTTAAAATTGATTAACTAATCATTTATTTGACTAATTTTAATTATACCCGGTTATACAACCATTTTTTTTGGGTATATATATATTCCGTTATTTAACTAGGTTTTAAAAAAATAAAACATGGCGTGATAAATTGTTATAGTTTGACTATAATGATTACTATTCATATGGGTTAATGTTATAATAATTTTTAATTAATCAGTTGATTAGGATTATGATTATTTTTTTTTATAAATGGTTATGTGTAGACGACTTGGTCAGTTAAGAGTAATATTAATCTATACATATTAAGAAAGAATAATTAAATATATACATATATAGATTCATAACAATGTTAATCATGGATTCTGATAATGAATATATATGTATTAATAATATGATTGTATAAAAAAAATCTCATACTTTTATCCTTTATAAAAGTGACTTGGATTACCAGTTATGAAAGACAAGCTTTTAAAAATTTCTACAACATAACTTTGATAAGGATTTTCAGAAAAGAATTTTTTTCGACAACCTTTGCGAAACCAAAGGAGTGCATTCTGAAATTAATTGTTGGAACAAATTTTATAGAACAAACTTTCTGGAATGCATTTCATTTCATGTGTTCCAGAACGAGTTGTTTAAAAAAAGTTTACTGGAATAAATTTTTTAAAATAAGTTTTCTTTAATGAGTCTGAAACACATTAAATACATTTTAAAGTAAGGTTTTTCTTCACAATGCATTTTTTTCTCTTCTCTTCTTACTCTGCAATGGCGGCAGCAGAGGTGAGAACAATGGTAATGTGTCACAATGAAAAAGGATATTTTAGTCTTCTATATTATTAATACAGTACAGTTGGTAAGAATAACGGTGTAGATAGTAGTTTTACCATAAATGTAATATTACAAAGACCACCACAACTATTATTTTTAATTTTTTACAAAGATATTTCATTTTTAAATGATTTGTTTTGATAAGCTAGTGTTTTGTATTATTGGATATAAATTAAGTACACAATCCAAATCTAGTTCAATAACAACTAATAAATTCCCGAAAATGAAAAAAATTGACTCTAACGATTATTAATCATAAATACCATCACTACTTTTTTTCACTTTCCAACATTCTTGAGCCAAACGATCAACTTCTGTGTCTCTGATGCAGTTCACACAAAATAACAAAAGAAAACTGCATTCGATGTGGTACTTAAGACATTACAGCCTGTCATCACAACGGTCACTTCCCACTTTTTTTCTTTTTGATAATAAACAAATAAAACAAATTATTATTACTACATATTTATGGAGAGAGGGTTACACTGTCCACTCCCTCTGCGTTTGTCTGTGGACGGGGAAGGTGGCATGTCATGAAGACCAAACCCTTTGCATTAGCATTGTTGTTGTGAACCTCAGAAAGCAAAAACACAGATCTGTTGTCACAATGGGTTGCTTTCTTCATTGCTTTGGTTCCTCCACAAGCACCAAGCCCAGGCGCAAGGCTCACCGTCACCATGTAACTAACCCTTCACCTTCTCTTCTTCAAGCTTCTATCTTTTTCATCTAATTTAGTTACCCTTTTGTTTGGTTTCTCATAAACTGTCTGGAAAAGACTTTCTTTTTTGAAAGTTTTATACTTGCACCTCCTATTTTTGGCCTTTTTTTAAGGCAAAACTAAGATTTTAAGTGCTGATTCTAGTGTTTTTATTCAATCAGATGAATGTTTTATCAGGGTGTTATGTATAATAGAGATTTGCATGAACGGATCATGCGTCTACTGGAGATAGATAGACTTTCAATTTTGATCTTGATGAAAGAATAAACTATAGTTTGAATAATATATGTGGGTTTTGTTTTTTTATTCTTCTGTCTAACAAGCTTAATAGATGAAGGTTTCTCTAACCTCATTGAGTCTTTTCAATGTTGTTCAGCGAAATGCCAAAGACAGGTTGGAGCGACCGAAGGTGTGTTCTGTGCCGGACTACTCCCAAATGGTGGTACATAGCACTGCATCACAAGAAGTACAGTAAGTAATTGACTAACTGAGTTTGTAAAATTCTACTTTTTGTTCACATGAAAGCATGCTTGGTTTTGGAGTTGAAGTTTTTGATTTAGATAAATGGGTATGGGATGTAGGGCTAAACCTCTGGAGAAGCTAAACGCAAGCCCCAAAAAGAAAGTGACTTTTGATGTCAATGTGAAAACCTACGAGCCAGATGAAGTTCTTGATTTCCAACCAGAGAAGAGTGAAGAGAAAAGACCTTCGGTTGAAACGTTAAGCCAAACAAAGTCTGATGAAAGTGCGGTTACTTCAACCGGGTCTTACCCAACAGACCATAGGTACCACAATTGCACATGTAGTGACGATGAAGATGCAGCAATGGAGTATTGGGATAGTGATCTCACGGATGAGGATGAGGATGATGGTGGTGATAGTGACATGGGAGAAGAATATGATGAAGTGGGGGAAGACTTTGAAGATGGAATAGTGTACTCAAGGTCCAGAAATGGTGATAATCAAAGGGTTGTTGCAGAGGTGGAAAGTCCAATTCCAGTGTACGATAAGGAAATGAAGTCAATTGGGTTGAACCCCAATGTTCGAGATAGGAGTGTTTATGTTCATTCTGTGCTGAACCCTGTGGAGAACCTCACTCAATGGAAAGCAGTTAAGGCGAAAAGAGGACCACCATTGGTGTCTCAGAAGGAGAATTTGGTTTTGAAGCAAGAGTCCCGACCTGGATTTGGTGCTGAATCACCCAAGAAGTTGAACCGGGAAATCGCAGTTGATGCTAGCCTTTCAAATTGGTTAGGTTCATCAGAAACTACACCTGTTAGCAAGAGTTCGTATGCAGAGAGAAATAGCTCACATGGGTCCAATACTGTGGTGAGCCATGAAGATAGGCCTATTTTAGGTGCATTATCAGTTGAAGAGATTAATCAGTTTTCGGCTTCTTGTTCACCAAGAAAATCACCAAGAGATGAGATTGCCATCATAGGCAGTGTTGGTAGCTACTGGAATTGTGGGAGCTATGCTCAGGATTCTGGCTCAGCAAATCGAGTGACTTCAAGAAGAGTACAATACAATTGATGTGAAAGTTCGTTATGCTGAACAAGAGAGTGAATATGAGACAAGGTTGTTCTATACAGAGGGTTCTTACTCATGTAGACAAGATTCAATTGAGGAGTGGTTTGTGTTAGGTGCAATTTTTTTATTCTTTTGTGAATGTGATATAGTGTGATGTTTTATTGTGTTGCATTCTGCGGTTGGATTAATAACACTATTGTCATGTAGTTTTTATCTGTACACTGTCTCTGAATTTTCTTCCATGATAAATTGATGAAATTATTACAGAGAGGACAGATAAATTTTTGTCTTGTAACAATCTGGGCATAAAAAAAACTATTTAATTAAAAAATGGTTTATATTGCTCTTAATTGACTTTACGTACTTAAATTTGCTTTGTAGGGCTTTTTAGTTCAAATCAATTAGCAGACTTTTCAAAGAGCAGAGATGTTTTAGTTTATTCTACTTATATCTATTCGTTTACATATACTTTTAAATACTGGTGCTTCATTATTTTGTTAAGGTGTCGTTTAAGGTTATTTTAAGAAAATACTTATATGGTATTATATTTTATCTTTTTTTTCTGCCATAATAAATTCGTAAACTAATTATAAATTAGATGAAAGGTAATGTTATAAATATAAGAAAATAATGAATGTTAATTTTTAAACTTTGAAAATGAAAGTTAAATAGAAACAAAAATATTTCAAATTTATGATATTTAAAAAATATGGTGGGACTACTACTAAGCATGGATAAGTAGTACATCTAATTTATTTTATAACAAAATAACTATTTTTTTTCTTGAAATATTACTAAATTTCAATTACTTTTATGTTATTTAATAATGGATTAAATATGTTTGTAGTTTTTCAACTATTATGTGTTTTTGGATTTA